AGGCTAGTTGGCAAAACTGTTCCTGACTCATTCGATTGTAAAAATCGCCTTGATAAAGGTTACCCGCGGTAACCGAAACGTCGGCTTATTTCACCTGTACCGACATCGCTGTGTTTTCCCAAAAATTACAATTTGTACAAAACAAATCACATGGCGCATCGTTTTTTCGATACACTCCGAACGTTGTTCGGGTTTGACACGTTGAAATTATTTTTTGTTTGTGTGTTCATTGGAGCGATACGACGAACAAGCATCGACGCTTCATTCTGTAACCGTTGACCCGTGCTGAACCGTTGAGACGTACAGCGCATAGTCGTCTACTGACTGGAATCCAGTCAAGAAGCGAGCGCTCCGCCTTGGCTTTTAGCGCAATCCCAACACCAGCGACACCGCGAGCTTCGAATGCCGAATCGCCTGACACACGAAGGGTGAAGCGTGAGGTTGAGGTTGGATCAAGGGATAATGGAAGTAGGATCTTGTGTACGTGTTTCGATACCGCATACATCTAAATAGAAAGTTTCGAGGGTTCTAGCTAAGGTAGCTCGTTGACCAATATGATAGAGTGTGCAGACATTGAACGCGGCTAAGTGAAAGGACTTTGAAAATGCTATAACTTCTGATTGTCTGGCTTTGCTTGTAAAACGCTGATTGATATTCGGTGGGTGGCGTAAACAGGAGGCATCTGGGATTATTCGGGATTGAGAAGAACAAGACAGATGGGAAAGATGGTTTTCCAAATGGGTGCCTAAGACTTTAGGGCACGACCTACTTTGCGACAGCCCACACCGACGGAGTTTTTCTTTGGGAACCATAACCGGAGCCTTTGACTCAAAAGTCTGACCCGCAAGGCAGTGGGGCGTAAATCCGATGCGGGAGCATGAACGAAGCACTCGTGTGGGTGCTTCTAGAGACCTGTCTAGCAAGGCCTTTGGATTTTGGTCAAGTTTGTTTTTCGCTAGTGCGTTGATTGTCGGTCTGCTTTTCGGGGTCGGCCCTTAGCCTCATGCACCCAATGAGACAAGCGGAACTTGGACGGGACAACACCTTATTGGCTGGGGGCTGCCCAGCTTGAGCGAGCGGTAGCTGTCCAATGAAGTGCGAAGACTTCTCCCACCGTCGAAAGGAAGCCCCTGGTACCCCGCTTCTACGCCCATCTAGCGAGGTTTTTTGATCGGTAAACTGCCCCTCACCGTTTGCTGAAATGACCTCTCCAGGAGTGGATGTGGATAGGAGCAAGCCAGGAGGTGCCCAAGCAGCTGGCTTTGTGAGACTGAGCTTTGTCTGGCCTTTACCCGTTGACCTTTTAGACATGATTGGATCTACGGCAGTGAAAAGCCATTCTGTATAGCTCGCAGGGTCATGGAGGCACGCAAGCCATTACACCACGCCAAGGTGCAGTCTCGTCGTGATGGGGTTGGTTGTGAGGACAAGATCGAGGGTATAGGCGTGGTCGCCAACACGGTCGTGGATACGAGTCGGAAAATTAACCAGTTGGTGGAGTCTTCAATGGAGCAAATGATTCTGCTTCACGTCTCAGGGGCAATGTCCCTAAAGAGTGTAACAGAATGAACTATGTTATGAACATCAGAATCACCCAAAACTGTGAACTGAGCGATGGGGTCTGCTTCGAAAATGCTATCTGTTTGCCGATAAAGCATCAAAGGGTGAAATAAGGGAACCGAAGTTCCAGCCACAGAGTCTGGAACTTGCGGTTGGTGAGATTTAAGTGGTAGAACGGAGTAGAAACAAGTGAATGATGGATGAAAGCACAAATACCAGCCTTGAAGATGAACTAGGTGTGAAGGGAATAATTGGGAAACTGAAGATACGTGGTGTCTATAGAAGCGGAAAGTTGTGTTTCGGATAAAAATAAAGCAAGGTGGAAAGTGGACTGAAGAAATAGATGTACAAAATCAATATTATGGTTGAAGCGGCAAATGTTAGTGAGTGCGATTGTCGAGTGAGAGTGCGCTTGAGAATTGTTCCTGTTTGTTGTAGTATTCATATTGAGATGAAAGGTAACCGGCAACCTAGCCCTGGAACTTGGAGTGGCTAACCGCATAAGGCCCCGATGACTAGGCGATGGTACTGACCCGGACGATGGCAGAACCGTCTACCAGTTTTAGCCAGGATGTTACTGATGCATAGAAGAAAGATGATCAACATTAGTACAGAACCCTGGGGGAACGCCAGCATTGACAGTGAACCCCGTCAACTCGGGCAGTTTCGCTCGATACCTTCCTGTTAAACTCTTTCGATGGCGTTTGATATATTAAACGAGACCAAGTGCGTTTCTTCGGGTATCTATCTATCTATTCAAGTCCTGTTCTGTAAAGTTTGGAACACTGACCAGGTCCCCTCTTCATGGAGGGAGTCGATTGTCGTCTCTATCTTTAAAAAGGGCCCTCTTTTATAGTCTGTTGTCTGTAAAATTCCACCTGAGTAGCCATTGCTTTAACAGCATCGAAAAATGCCTGGTAATTTTTCTAATCAACTTTTATTTCATATTACTCGACATTGTTGCAAAAGTGATCAGTTTCTTTCCGAATTCAGGTCGTGATATTCACGTTTGTCACAAATGACAGTTCTTCGAAATACCGCATTGACCGGACAGGATGACGACCAACGATTTCGTGTGAAAAACAGCTCCTTCAGTTTCCATCGACAGTATACACAGATTTACACTGCCCGATTGGCGTCCCTCAAACCACTCTTGGTTCTCGGTTCTGCAAAGAAATGGAATAGTACTACGGATGAATCAAATGGTTCTGATCAGCCACCGATTCGATCTTTAGCAGATTTAGAAGCGGATCAGCGTTGTGTCATCATCGGAACGACATACAAAGTGAGTGATTGCAAATATATGCGTTACTTATTCATGTGGTCTACAAGAATCAAAGTATACCTGTTAATTTAAACGGGGAATTTTGAATTAGCCCATTCGGTTTTTCACGGGTACTAGGTACTGTCGATGTTCTTAGGTATGGGTTTCATTCTCTAGGAGATAGTTAATTCCCCACTAGTTGCATGCGTTTAAATGCGAGCCATTCGCACAAGGTGATGTCCGTCGACCATGCAGCTCAAGGGTAAGGGTTCGGTTTCTGACAGGGACACAAAAAGTCAACGCAGCTGACGACTACCAAACAGGACGAAACATCTGTCCAGCGCTCTTTGTCGGTTATCACAAACATTTCCATTGCATTTCAATTTGCCTGGTAACTTTAAATAACTGGAAACCACTTACTGCGTTTGGTATTAGATAAATAAAACATTCGCAATATACGTAGTAATATATATATATATATGTATATGTATATATACATATAATATACAGTTGAAGAGTCGAAAGCTTTTTTGAATAATTTCCCCGTCTTTTGGTATGCTTTGATCGTCAAAATGTGACAACGGATGGGCGCATGTTGCAGTCATAAGGTAGAAAGAAGCGAGTCACAGCAGCATACGTCGGTCTATCAGTAGTTTTTTTAGGCACACGCGTCCGAGTAATACCTTAGAAAGATTGGGATCAAAATATTACTACTGTCGTGAGATACTACTAACTTGTGAGTAGTAGGTAACTTTCGATGATCAAAAACATAACAAGACCATCAAGGGCCAAGTGATGTGTTTGGAAGAATAACCACTGAATGTTCTATACATTATCCTGTGTTTCGGAAAGAATTGCGATAGCACGTTTCTGATTAGGATTTTATGTTGTGCATGCAAAATTACAAACCTCCCATCTGTACTCTTCAATGGCCGACTATCCTCGACTAACACCGCCTTTTGGAATTAAAACAACTGGTGTCGTCGCCAGAATCAGGACGAAGGTTCCGTGGCCTGATGCGGAAGTTCCTGGTGGAGTTCGAGGGTGTCGCGAAGCTGGCGGGGATGCGGTCAGATCGTGGTAAGGTGACGGCCCTCCGAGTGCTTCTCAAGGGCCGGGCGCGGGCGGTGTTGGATGCGGCGCGAGGAGGCCCGAAGAAGATGGAGTTGGCCGCCGCAAAGGACGCCTTGATTGCGGGTTTTGACACTGGCTGACCGCCAGAAGGAATTGCGGAGCTTCAGGACGGCGCAGCTCGGAGTTGGCGTGGAACCCCGGGTCGCATGCCGTGGCCCTGGGTGCTCTCTTAGATCGAGCGCTGCCAACTTTGAACGACGCTGTTCGCTCGGTATTATTGCTGGACCGTTTCGTGGAGAGTCTGCCGGACAATCTGCGGGAAATGGTGCGAATTGTACAAGCGGGGCGCGCTATGGATGTTATTGATTCCACGGTATCAAATAATCCACGTTAGAGTGACGCGTTAAACCCACAAGAACAAGTACCTGCCGCTTGACTTCGTCCTCCAAGTGTAGTGGAATTCAGCGTGAAACAAAGACTCGAAATTTTCCTGTCTTCATTGGCATTTCGTGTTCGACCCAGTTACAGAAACCGTACTGGTCATTATCGCCTGTGAACAGGTGGGAGTATCGTGGCACCACTGGCTGGAACGACGGCGACACATTCGTGCCAGTTGTTTCTGTAGTCACGGCTGACAACTTCTACCTCTTCGAGCGTGACAGCGGGATAATACCGAATTTGGTAACAAGCCATTCATTGTTCAGATCAACCACTGCCCTTAAATTGCGCAATATATCTGCTCCCACTATAGTCTCGTTCGTGTCTTTTGTTATGACAAATGGATGCTTGGTTCCAACGCGGTCTGTCCGTTTGGCTACTCCGTCTACCCTCAACTGGTAACCCCTGACTGTTTTCACAGCTGTATTCCATATTTGCAGGGGTTCATTTGCTTGTGGTCTCACCAACGATATTGCCGCCCCCGTGTCGATTAAGCAGAAATCTTTTCAACCCTCTATCTCCAATTGGGCCTGGATTGCATCGCGATTTACTGCTCCTATGATAGCCTTGATTGAGGAGACGGGCGTGTTCTGCGTAAACCGCTTCTCGAAAAAACGTTTTTTGTATCCTTCTGAGCAATTCCTCTGCCAGCCGCCCACTTCGCCGCATTGAAAGCACACATTCCCGTTCTTTCTTACTCCGCAATTCGACTTCAGTGCTGCCACTTCTGTCAGCTTTTTCGGGGCTTCCTTGAGATCCTCTAGCGGCTGAATTTTCAGGACTTCGTGAGTTTGGAGAGCCGAACCTCCATGATTGTTTAACTGTCTCACGGCTTCAGCCAGGGTGAATACATCTGTTGATTCCATTCAGCCCTGCACCCAAAACATTGTATGACCCATTACACTCGTCCCTT